GAGAGAGACAGCGAGAGGGAGAGAGAGAGAGACAGCAGAACCCTCAAGTCTCAATGCTGAAGGCAAACCATTCATCTTCCCTCTCATATGCTCTTCTGGGCTTCAATCCCAGTCCCTGTGTGTGTGTGTGTTTGTGTGTTTGTGTGTTTGTGTGTGTGTGTGTGTGTGTGTGCGTGTGTGTGTGTCTGCATCTTCCAAATATGGAGAGCAGTCTGAATGATGAACATGATCTCCATTGCAGCAGAACAATACTGTTTCTAAATAGGACATGAGAGGCATTCAGCCTTCCCTTACACACTGTGTATGGGGGGGAACCGATGCTTGTTTGCAGGGGCTGAGGCGCGCCGTGTGCAATGAGGCATCTGCTGCAGGTGATAGCGACCGCGCGCGTGTGTGTGTTTCTGTGTGCTTGCGTGCATCCATTAAGTGTCGGTCCCAGCGGCGTCCGGAGTTTTTGCTACATCAATCAGATGCTTATTCGGAGAACGCCGGGCGTCACTCTGGCGGTCGGGCAGGTGGCACTGAGCAGCTGGGTGATGGCTGCCAGCCTGGCCCCTGGCATCACCTCTGCTCTGAGACCACCCAGGCTTGCTCTCATACACCTGCTAGCTACCTGCCTCTGGAGCTTTTCACACCTGGATCTTTTTGCTCCTCACCAAAACACAACACTCCCTGCACCTGTTTGGTAGCAACCTACTGAGCTCCCTTCCCCTCCCCCCGCACCTGTTAATTAGCTATGAACAACAGCAGCGCTGTGTTTCGTCGTCTAACCCAAACTGCCATCAACAGCACATCAAGACACAGTTAATAAAGGGAAATAAGTAGTGCTTGAAAGTGTTTTTTGTGTGCATTAGTGTGCGTGTGCGTAATAGGGCTGGGCGATATGAACTGAAAAATTGATCAAGATAAAATGTTTCATTTCATTTGATGTGATAATTATTTCTCATTTTATGACCTGTTTTTAATAACAACTAGTAGGAAAAGTGCTTAGTTTGAATTTAACCACCTTACTGTGAATTAATCACATTTCTTAAGGAACACAGGTAATAACTCGATGGTTAGCACAACAAAACACAAATAAAAATACATAATGATAAAGCAATTATCTCACTTTGATTGGGTTGTGGGGGACACAGGGTTGTTTTTAAACTACAAAGTCCATCTGAAGTGCAAACATAGGCCCCAGAAAACCACATGGAAAGTCTGTGGATATGAGGTCCAGATGAATGTTGACTATCAGGAGACCGATGGAGAGCAAAGGGGGTTCCATTATCAAGAGGTATGATGGACTGTTGTGAGCCAGGGAGGGAGCACACCTGGGGTTTGTTCATCCAGCCAAACTTTTCATAAAGCATTTTAAGGGCAATTTGCATCTAATACAATTAATTGAAGCTATCAAACATTCTATCAAACACTTTCATTTCTATTGATGAAGGATCTATCGCCCTTACTCGCTGTTATTTCATTTTATCACCCAGGCTTAGTGTTTAATAAGTCTTTCTAACCCACGCTGAGAGTACAATCTTACAGTAAGTAACAAGTTAGTGACACCTCAGTACTGTTCCTTCCTAACTGGTGATGCTGTGACACTAACAGGCCTTTCTCACAGAAGACATTTTGACACTCCACCACTGTAAATACCTTTTCTAATGACAGCTGAATCTCATTTCCCTGCCGCAATTTCAGGGTGCTGGTATTGTGCACGCTGACTCACCTGAGCTTTTCCTATTTAAGTCAAAATGTCTGTGAAAAGGCTTTGTCAACAGAACAAAGACATTTCCTTCCTCACTGAGCAATAAGTGGATTATTCGCTTTAGTTAATCATTTTAGTTAAGATATGAGTAATTTCACCAAAGTAACTTTCCGTGCCGAGACACTGCGCTTACCTTTCCTCTTGGAGTCCCGTCTGACGCTGCTGGGCCTGACCGCTGGCTGTAGCTCTGTCTCTGTTGACATCCTCAGGCTCCAACTGGGCTAGACTCCGCTCCGCTTGGCTCAGCTGGGATCCGCTGGGCTCCGAGGGTCCAGTTCACAGCGTCAGTGCCGGCTGTGCGTGCGTGGGCGCCGGGTGTGTGCGTGGAGGCGCCAGGTGTGTGTGTGGGCACACAGGCTCATGGGAGAGGGATGGGCTTCAGCCCTGACACAACATCCCACACACACCCACAGAGAGCTGAGGGAGGGAAAAAAAGAGGAAGAGACAGGTTTGCTTTCGGTTAGGTTTGTGCTTACTCTTGGCAGGCGAAAAACCTAGCGCGGGTTCTCAGCAGGCATGAGAATGAGCTTGTTTCTGATCTGTCTTGAGTAGATGTTGCCCATGGTAACAGTCAAGAGAGACCTGCACTACACTTTGTGCTTCCTGTCAATAACGTGCCTCAGCAAGGACATTTCTTGACAAACAATCCCATCGCTTCAATCCACCTCTGTCTGCTAACATGCAATAATCATTCAAACAAGGCTGAAAAGCACTAATACTATCAATGCTGATCTTATTCGATCAGTTCTAACCATCATTTCTATCACTTATATCATTTTACTCAACAAGTTATTTTGGGAAATCACTACCAAGACACAAGCAAACAGACAACCCAGCATCTTGCAAACTGCTTTCGCTGCAGCCAAAATCAAACATGAGTTTATGTAAGTTCAGCAATCTCTTATTGCACAAGAAATCTGTGCAGTAAATACAGTAATACAAAGTCAAATCAGGAAGTGAGCCTATAAACCGTAACCGATGATCACAAAGGGCAGTTTGGGTTTATGTTTTCCAAACGGGGTTGGATCACCTGACTGCTAATGTTAATTGCATTGCCTGTCTTTTTCCATTACGAGATCTCTGCAATTAACTTGGTGGCTCCAGTGCTAGTGCCAACACAAAAGATGGCTGAAATTAATAAGACCCAGGTTGTACAAAATTCTTCTTAACACCATAATCAGACAAGTTGCCCTCCCTGGTTCCTGTCCAGTGCCTGCCGGGCCCCTCTGGCCCCAGCATGCTGTCCCTTCTTTGCCCATCTGCCACTACTTTATTCTTAAGTGTTGACTGGCAGTGGCTACCGCAAACTAGCGGCCAAAAACACTCCGATTCACACTCCAACCCTGTCGTGTGAATGCATGAAAACAGCACATTTACATGCGCACACAAACGCAGAAAGGCCCCCTTTCTTACTTGGAGATGCTGAAGTACAAAGACAGCAGGGGACAGCTGCGAGTTGACATGCCACATAATGAATGTGACTACCTCCTGAGCTGCTCTTCACCTCTCCTCAGACAAGATCAGTCTTGACCTCCCTTTTCCTTCTCCATCTCCATCTAACAGTGGCCGAGTGCAGATTTTGAACAAAAACCAAAAAGACCGGCGTTTCTTGGGGAAGAGGGAAATCTCTCTTATTCTCGTCCTCCCCCTCTCCACGGTGTTTCTGTGTGAATAGGAGGCCCCTGTAAGCCTCGGGCGAGAACAGATGAATTGAGAGGCTTTTAATTTGCTGCAGACAGAACAGAACAGAGTCCATTTAATTCTGCCAGCAGAGGCCATGTCGGCAAAATGCTGACAATATTCTTTATCTGGTCCAAACACACTGGAAAAGTGTGAGTCACTCCAATTACAGGCATTATCAGCAGCACTGTTCCACCAAATGGATGGAGAGAGAGCGAGTATGAAGAGAGAGGGGTTAGAGGGAAGAGAAATGAACAGAGTGGAAAGAAAGTGAGGGGTGAGGGAACATGGAGTGGGTGAGTAAGATAATGAGCAAGGGGGTAAAAGGGGAGCGAGAAAAAAGCCCAAGGAAGTACAATCAGAGCAGAAAGGATGGAGTTTGAGCGGCTTCAGCTCTAACCCCGAACATGTCCCCGTCTGTCCCTCTCTTCTCTTTCCCTTTTTGTTCTGTGAATTCGCTCTCCTCCTTCTAGCTGTGAAGTCTTTTTAGGCAGCATCTGGAGCTTGTGTTTACAGTCTGTTAATCCTCAAACTGGACCAGAAAAGAGGCAGTCTAGAAAACCCTCTTTAAAACAGCTTCTATTTGACAATGACAAAAAAAAAAAAAACTAAATTCAAAGAGACATTTCTTTGAGTGCACAACCAACATTATAATAAGAAAATGTTCTGAATTGAGTTTACAGTTTAGGTTCTGTTTGCAAAAATTGCTCCCAGGAGAGGAGAACTCACTTATTTGAAAGAGTTCAACCCATCCAAGCACTGTTTCACTGGTGAAAATGAGTAAGAAACCAGATTCGGCGACTGAAAATGAAAAATCTGCTGCAGCACTGCTCTCCAGACTCCAAGGCACCAGACATATGGTTGTTTCTCTGGAGACTCGGGAAAGACTTCTACATCTAAAGCTACAGTCCCTGGAGGGGAGAAGGAGCTAATTTCTCACCAAAAAAAAAAAAAAAGCAGCGCATGTCGAGCTTCAGCTGTACAAATTCCCTGCCTCGTACACACAGACAAAGTGAAGGGAAGAGCAGCACCATCAAAAGCCATCACGAGCACTGTAGTGGCGGTTTGACCTGGAATCGGCGCGCGAGCTAAATGTAGCAGCAGCAGCAGCAGCAGCAGCAGAGCAGGATGCGAAACACGGCTTAGTGTGTCTGGATTTAGACAGCAATCTGAAGCCATACCAGAGGAGACACGAGAGCAGAGGGAAAGGAGGAGAAGGGAATGAGCAGTAAAATTGGACGTCCGTAAACAGGGGGCGCTGCCAACAGGCGCGAGTGGGTGATGTGAAGATCTGCATGTGTGTGTGTTGAGTGTGCACTTCACTGCATGTGTGTGACTCCATAAGCAGGATGCTGCCAACAGAAGCTTAATGCCCAGAAATCATCTGCAGCTACAGTAAAGTCTGCCAGGCGAATGGAAAGAAAAAAAGAAAGCAAAAGAAGGAGAAATTGCGGGTGGGTGGGTGGGTGAGGAGGGTGCTGGCTCACTATCCTACTTCCCCTTTTCTCCCACCTCCCACTCTCTCAGGGTAATTGTGTTCTGTCCATCAGGCTCAGAGTTAGATTAGTGGCTCCACTCATTCAGCTCTCCTGCCATCTCAATAATGAATAATCACAGAGACCACCTCGACACTACCTTCCTCACTACTCAGTTCAGACTCTCCCACCGCCTCACACACTCTTCCACCTTTGTATTCTCATACTGCTGCACTGACCCCTTATCAGCAGCACATCTCTCCTCTGAGTTGGACTAGTTGATAAATAACCGCAAGTGCGTGTAAAGGTTAGACATTCTGCCGAGTTTCAGATGTTTAAACGGTAAATGAACAATGTTTGTCTTAACTACATTAACAGACAAAATCAAATGCAGTTTTAGAGACTGAAAACGGTTAAATGCGCCTTTAAATGTCAGCTGATGGAACTGATTGAATGCAGGCAAGCTAAAGAGAGAAATAAATGTCAATAAATGTCTGCTCTATTAAGAAAAAAGTCAAAACTAAGCATATAAAACCTACCCGTTTATGAGCCGCGGTGGATAAAATATAGAGTCCACTCAGCTCCAGTGGTGTAACCAGCTCAGGAGGAGACAAAGAGCAGCGAAGAATGAAACGGAGCGCAACAAGACGAGGACGCAAGACAGGGTAAAGGAGCAACTAATAGAGGTTACAGGACAAGAAGTACGTGCCGGTGAGATAATGGACTGTTTGTTTGTGTGTGTGTGTGTGTGTGTGGGTTGAAGTTCAGAGTCATGCCCACATAACTGCTTTATATTGCTGCACTTTGTCCGTCACTCAGCAATAAATGAAGTCCAGGTCAACCCCAGTCACACTTTTATTATTACATGACATTAATGCAAATAAAATGTGACGGTACATACATGATCATGTTGACTGAATATGTGGTGAAACACAAAGCATTTCTGCCCACGACTGAACGTGATGTATGTGCCAAATTAAGAAAAATCTAAGCTTTTATTTCCCTTTATCGGAAGTTCCGATAAGTTAATGATCAACAACCAATGCAACTATATCAGTAAGACAATGAACGACTTCTAGGAATAGGCGCAGGCTCTCATTGTGGTATGGGTTAATCAATTAGCCATAAACCACCCTCATGCTAACATGTTTTTAAAGACTTGTAGCGGAGTGGCAATAGTTTTATTGATCCAAAATAAGACTGAAACTTTTTTTTCCCTGATAATCAGTGAATTATTTAGGTAATTCTTCTAGCAAAAAAGTCAAACATTAACTCGTTGCAGCTTTCCAAATGAGACAATTTGCCTCCATTTCTTCGTCAGGAGCTGAAAATACTCCAAATATGAAAATACTCCAAATGTATTGGAGTACTGGCTGAGAAGCACAATCAGTTTAACGCTGTTGTTGTGGATTTTGGAGATTAGGATTGGCATTTTCTCCATTTTCTGACATACTGTAGATCAGCTAACTAACTGATTAATCCAGGAAAATAACCAACAGATGAATCTATTACGGAAATAATCACTAGTTGCAACTCTAATCCAGAATAAGCTCAACAGTATTACCGTGACACAGCAAACACATTTGATAAGGCTGTTGCAGGATGACTAGGAACACTGTGGCTGCTGTTAGATCAAACTAGAACACAGGACAGGGCAAATTCCAAACCACAGAAGTGCTAAAATTGAACTTCAATAGTAAAAGCTGAACATGACAACACCTGTCCGGCCACCTGTACAACTACACAGTGTATTTGCACAGTTTGGTTAAAGCTGGAGACTGTAAGCTGCCAAGTAGAAACACAACATCACGGTTCACTTGCTGAGAGGCAACATGTCGAAATGCATACAAGGTGCATCAGAAAATTTCCAGGACTTGTGTCACAAAATATACATTTCAAATCCAAACTACAAGTTTTCGTCTTTGAAGTAATCCCCCTGCAGTCTAACACACTTTCCCAGCCTTCTCTGCCACGCTGTCATGCACTCCTGGAAGGATTCTTCCGGGATCCTCCACAGCTCCGTCGTCACAGCCATCTTGATGTCGTCC